GGGCCCAGAAAAGGTATAAGTCCTCACTCTAGTCCATAGGACTGGCAGCCTGGCCCCCAGCCTTCAAGCCTTCCCCAGCCTGAAGGTGGGGCCTCACCAGAGAACTGCCCACTTCCGCCCAGGAGCCTGTCTGCTTCCTGCCGCCATCCATGAAGCCCAGGCTGCTTGCGTCAAGGGGTACCTGCAGGCCTGCACCAAGCTGCCCTCAAACCCCTCCCACGGTGCTTGTCAGGGCCCAAAGTCCAGAGGGGGCCGAGGAGGCAGGGGCCTAGTGTGTCAGCGCTGACCTAAGTGTGTACACATCTGGCTCGGCTGTGACAGCACCCTGGTTTGGCCCCAACCCCGCTCCGAGATTGGAGCAGGCACCTCCAAGCCTACAAGGGCAGGAGGGATGCCTTCCCTGGCCCCTAAGAGTGCAAAGAGGCCTGGGTCCACAGCCCCAACTTGGGCAGCTGCAGCTGTGTGGGGTGGGGGGCTCCTACTCATGGCCCCCAACAACACAGGGAGGACTGGGTCCACAGCTCTGACTTGGGTGGCTGCAGCACACCGAGGAGGGCGGGGCTGCTGCCTGCTCCTGGCTTTCGTCAGGTCTGTGGAGTGTGCCCCCTTGTAGCCTGGAGCAGGGGCTCCAGGTTCTCGCTGGGCCCAGGCCGGTATCCAGGGCAGAGGCAACATCTCTACTAGCTCCCCCTCACCCAGCTTGTGGCCCTGCCTAGGGAGATGCCTCCAGGAGCAGACTGTGGGTCCTGGGCCCGGCCCTTGGCAGTGTCAGGCCTGGCAATCACCCTGATGCAGGGTGGAACCCAGGGATGCGGCCCTGGGCGGCCCTGCTCAGAGCCTCACTGTGAGGCACAGGAACCTGGTGCCCTCGGCAGGGTGGGTGCAGTGACCATGCTGCTGGCCAGGTCCCTGAAGCAGGCACTGCTCCCACTTCCCGCCCCAGACCCCCAAACTGCACCTCCAGCTCCGCCTCCTACTCACACCCTCCCCGCAGCATTGGTGGGCAAGAGTGGTGACACAGGGTCAGGAGCCCGGGAGGCTCTGGCCCTGAGGGCAGGTCCTGCCAGAGGCACAAGGGCGGGGGCGGTACAGTCGGCTATCTCAGGGACACAGGGCACAGGGGACCCACCAGCATCACTGCTGCTCCCACAGCTGCTCCTGACACCACAGCCCGCACCTCCCCATGACTAAAGAAGAATTATCCCAAGTTAAAAAGTTACACATTTCACTATTGACATTCTACAATTTATACAAGCTTCTGGATTGTGTTACTTAAAAAATTAATCTTCCTTCTCCTTCCCTTTTCCTGCTGTGAGAAGAGCAGTTGTCATGGTACCCCTGGGGTGAAGGTGGATCCCTGGGGTGGAGCTTGTCATATTGTCATAGACGAAGAGAGCTAAGGAGGGAGAATGTGTGGTAGGGGAAGAGCCAAACATTTTGCTTCAGAGCCCAAGCATTAAGGCAGGAGGGGGAAACTGGCAAAGGGCAATGGGGTACAACAGAGTGAGAAGGATGTCTTCCAATGGAAGCAGCTCACCGTGGGGTGTCAGAGTCTGAGTGGGGTAAGAAGTGTGTCCACCAACAGTGGAGAGACCAACATGAGGAGTCATAGCCAGAGCGCTGGGGAGGGTGTCCCTGTATTGAAGCATGCTGGTATGGACTCTTAGATCCAGAATGGGGTAGGGGGACGGAGGAGATGTAATGAAGAATCCAAGTCCCAGCAGTGAGAGGAATGGATGGTAGTGAAGATGGGAGACTGAACAATAAGTATATACATTAAGGATAATGGAAGCCAGATTTCTCACTGTCAGAGAAGAACATTACAATATGAAAAAGGAGAAAACTAGAATAGATCCTGGAATATTTTATTGAAATTGGAGGTATCAGTATGAATTCATAGTTTTCAAAATACAGAGATAATAAATGTAGATATAAATGCATATGTATGTTTATGCATACATACCTATACTTACCAGCCCTGACCATTAACAGGACCTGAAAGCAGTAACAACCCAACAGCAATAAACATACTAGCCTTGATTGAGATCTTAGTTTCTAAATGTCATTCTCCACTAAAAGGAACCAGGGATCCCTAAATGGCTGATTCCAGAATTAAGGCAGGGAAGGTACAAGATGAGCCAGGTACAGGTTCTTGTACCAAAAAGTAAAAAGATGTTCTCAAAGAGTGATGGGGATGTACCATAAGAACACAGAAGCCAGCTTCAACAGCTCTCATTGGCCAAATAAAGAACAATTTGAACATCAAAATAAATAATGCTATAGTCTGAATGTTTATGTACTCTCCCAAAATTCATATGTTAAAATCCTAACACCCAAGGTAATGGTATTATGAGGTGAGGACTTTGGGAAATGATCAGGTCATGGGGGTGGAGCCCTTGTGAATGGGATTAGTTCCCTTTTTAAAGAGACCCCAGAGAGCTCATGTGACCCTTAAGCCTTATGAGGTTAAATTGAGAACATGGCTATGAGGAAGCAGGTCCTCTGACCAGACACTGAACCTGTCAGAGTCTTAATCTTGGATTTCTCTGCCTCTAGACTGTGAAAAATAAATTTCTATTGTTTGTAAGCCACCCAGTTTGAGGTATTTTTGTTATAACAGCCCGAATGGACTAAGGCAAATAGTAACAGAATATAATCCACTAAACACATACACACACACACACACACACACACACACACACAAAACCACGACTCCATGTAGATGTCAATAAATGATTAAGAGTTTAGTGAGGAACAAGATATTTACATAGTTTCAAAGTACATGACAAAAACAATTAACTATTAACTTTATAGTGGAGAAAACTGACAAATATTACTTATATCAAGTAATCAAAGTAAAAATAACAATGAAACAAAGTGAAATTGCGCACCACCTGACAGGATGCAGTATCACTTCTGTGATATCCTTCCCGAGCACATATTCGTATGTATCTAATCATGAAGGAACAGACAATCCCAAATTGAGGGGCAGTCTCCAAAGTAACTGACCTGTAATTGTTAAATGTCAAGGTCACGAAAGTTAGGAGAAGATAAAGGAAATGTTCCATATTGAGGGAGACAAAAGAGACATAACATCAATGCAACACATATTGCTAAACTGGATCCTTTTGCCAGTAAACAGATTAACAGCACAATCAACAGAACTTGAACCAGTCTGAGAACTAGATGGAGTACTGTATCACTATTCATTTCCTGTTTTGGTTATTGCACTGTGATCATGTAGGAGAACATTCTTGTTTGCAGAAAATGCACATTAAAGTATTCTGGGATGACAGGGCATCAGGTCAACAGCTTCCTCTCAAATTGTTGGGGGTGGGGGAGAATTTTTTCTACCATTCTTGCAACTTTTTTGCAAGTCTGTTATTGTTTCGACATTGTTGGCCGGGCGTGGTGGCTCAAGTCTGTAATCCCAGCACTCTGTGAGGCCGAGGCAGGTGGATGACAGGGTCAAGAGTTCAAGACCAGCCTGGCCAGGATGGTGAAACCCCGTCTCTACTACAAATACAAAAATTAGCTGGCGTGTTGACAGGCAACTGTAATCCCAGTTACTCCAGAGGCTGAGGCAGAGAACTGCTGGGGTTGTTCTCTGGGAGGCAGAGGCTGCAGTGAACTGAGATGGCACCACTGCTCTCCAGCCTGGGCAACAGAGCAAGACTCCGTCTCAAAAAAAAAAAAAAAAAAAAATTGTTTAAAAGTGGGGGGGGCGGCACAATGTCACTACAAACTAAACAAGGTTAAAAAACTGATTTCCCACACTTAATCTTGATAGAAAAGAAACATCAGACTATGCAAAATTACTAGGAAATAAAATTTTGGAGCCAGAAGTTTAAAAATTTAATACTTCTCTTTAACAACTGACCTCAATCAGGTCATGACTGGTGAGAGACAAAAGAACATGAAAGGTTCCCACTAAAGGAGAGGAAGTTCTTAGGAGAGGAATAATAAAAGAGACAGTGGACCACGAGTGGGTAGAACAACGGCATTCTAGGCTACCAATGGCTATAACCATCAGGAAAACACAATCTCAGCATCTCTGAAAAATGAAGGGGCTGTAGAGCTGATATCTAAAATTCCTTGCAAATGTGGGACTAGAATTGCCCTGAAATAGAAGTGGTTCCCCAGTTCAATTTGTTATTACATTATGCTTAGCTACACAGGAATACAAAAGAATACAAATACAGAAATAAACGTGCATGAACCCCGAATTCTCTTAAGTTGTGGAAGTCCATCAATTAAAGTGTAAAATACAATGCATTTGCCCAATTGTTCCTAAGAAAATTCTGTGACAAAAGAACAATGAAAACACATTAGAGTGAAACAAGATCACCTTCAGCGGTCAGCTGGCTGTCCCTAGTTAAAAGACAAGTCATGTCATTGTTAAGTGACTGTCACATTTGTCCTGAAAGAATAGGGAGCATTTCCTAGAAAGGTGTAAAAGTGCAAAGAATCCTTTCCCCTTCCCTGGTACTACGCGTTCCTTAGGACGGTCACTAGGCCCCCAACAGCACAGGGGTGAGGTAGCACTGGACTCTCAGCACTTCCTTTCAGAGAGGACAACCCCCTGCGTCACTGGTTACTCATTCAGGATGCAGGGCAGAAGTTTATCCCTGAGGAACTTAGCACAGTTGGCTCCTACCCTCCCAGCCTTGCGGTCCTGGGCCCAATCCCAGGGCTCTGCCCCGGGTACCGGGCAGCCTCTAGCGGGAGGGTCGCGAGACCCCAACTCGCCTCCGGCCGGCCCAGCGGGTGCGCCCGGGGCTGGGCAGACGCGGCGTCTTCCCTCCCATTACCGTCATGCCGGCCCCCACGCCCACCGCCAGGCTCGGCCCAGCCGAGAAGGCCGGACGCCGACCGCCCGCTCCTCCGAGACTCGGCCTGGCCCTCCCCGACGCCCGGCCCGATGCCCGGCCCCGCGGAGCCCACTGGACAGCGGCCGGGGGGCGGGGAGGCCCGGGGGCGGCGCCGCCCCACACCCTTACCTGGCTTCTCGTGGTCATATCCTACCACGATGAAGTAGTCAGCCAGCCGGGCCATGGCCGCCGCCGCGCTCGGGAAGCGGGTCCCCGTCGCCGCCCTCGCCGCCGCCGCCCACCCGGCCCGAGAGGGCTCAGCATTTTCCCTGCAGCGGCAGTAGCGGCAGCGGCAGCGCTTCAGCCATGTTTGACAACCGAGGCGCGCTCTGCGCTTGCGCGGCGCCTCTTGCCCGCTTCTACCCCTCCCCCACCCGCGCTGGCTCGGCTGCCCCAAGCCCGGGCGGCGAGCCCACCCCAACCCTCGGCTGGCCTCGCTGACTGCTGCACTTGGGGAGTGGGCGGCCAGGCGCGTTCCCGCCACGCGCTGCCAATGCGGCCCCTGGAGGTGGTTTGAGGCCTGGATGTTGCTTCACGGCCCCCTCCCCCTCGTTGTTTTTCCTAAAGCAGGGGGTCCTTCCTTCCGCCTTCTCTATTCTGTTTGGATTTGGAAGAAGGGACGTGGAGAGTTGAGGGGTCACTTGGAAAGCTGGCTGCTTCCTCTGCTCCCCACCACCACCAAAGATGAAATTCTCCCGCCCTCGGTTGGAAGCAAGGAATTTGCACCGACAGGGCTTTTGTTGCATGTTTCCTGTTTATGTTGTGTAGATGGGAATTTTAGAAACATGCCACCGAGCAGACGGGGGAGGGAGAGGCTTTTGCGCAATTCTCCAAGGCGCCTCGGGTTTCAATGCCGGGTGGGCCGGGGGCGGTCGGCCTGGGCTTCCTCCGGAGCGCCCCGGGGAGCCAGATTCCACCGAGGAACGCGGCATCCCCGGGATCCTCCCGAACTGGGCTGGCCTCTCCCTGGGGAGCCCCGCCCGCCTCGGCTTGCTTCCCTCGCAGCGGTCCCAGGGCTCTCGCAGCCCGTACAGGTGGTGACTTCCAACTTCCCTGCTCAAACACGCACAAAAATGAATAAATGGTCCCGTCCTTCCGTCTGGGGATTATCCAAGTCGCATGCTTTTTTGTTGAACCTCATGTTGACCATTTCGAATTTGGGTGGTGCGACATTCAGGTGAACTTATTTTGTCATTTGTTAATCTCTCACGAAGTTTTGGTAGGAGAATTTGAACAAGTGGTAGACCAAAGTTTTGGAAATCTCTGGTTTAGAAGTTGTCTTTGTGGTTGCTTATCACTGTTCACTATTAATTGAGGGTTTGATCCTTCATATTTACATATAAGACAAGGCCTCTTGGCAAAGTGTCTAGTATGTAGTAAGTGCCTACCAAATATTTTTAATGAGTAAAAGTGCGATTTTCCCCAACGACCAGCAGGAAGCCGCAGTGGTTCCAACTCTGAACTGAGAGAGTTGACATCTCAGCTCCTGCAGATTTACTCTGCTGTAATTTACTATTTCCCCTTCCTCTGCCACACTTGTTTCATCTACAAATTGGGAGGGTTGGGTTGCACTAGAACTGAAACTGAAGGAATACTTTAACTCCAGGAGCTGTATGTCAATTGCAAATGGTAAAACTGAATCAGCTGAATTTGCAAACGTGGAGGGAAGATAGCTTGATCCTGAGATTAAACCAAAAAAAAAAATAAAATAAAATAAAAAACCTCAGTCATACCCCATACCATATAGCAATCCTCTCTGTAACTTCCCTGAGAGCTCATCATCCAACTTGATCACTTTCAGCAAAGAATAGTCTTACTTCCTTGGGAGGCAGCCCATTTCACCGTTTAACAGCCCTCTTGTTAGAAAGTTCTTCCTTATTATTTTAGAGTTGTCGTACTGTAATTTCCCCTGATTCTGCTCTCTGGAACTATCCAGAAAAAAAATAAAATCTATCTTCATATGATAGATTAAATTTTAAGGCAGCTATCATATTCCTTCCCGACTTTTCTAAAAATAGGGTAAAATTCACGTATCGTAAAATTAGCCATTTTAAAATGTAGAATTCAGTGGAATTAAGTACATTCCCAATGCTGTACAACTACCGTGTCTATCTAGTTGCAAAACATTTTCATCACCCAAAAGAAAACCTCACAACCATTAAGCAGTCATTCTCGTTCCCCCATCCCACAGCCCCTGGCAGTCGCCAATGTGGTTTGTCTCTATGGATTTATCTATTATGAATATTTCATGTTTATATTTACAATATGTGACTTTTTGTGTCTGGGTTTTCTCATTTAGTATATTGTTCTCAGCTTGTATACGGGCAGATGCAGTACAAGGTTGTAGCATCACATCGAAGTATCAACACTTCATTATTTTTTATGACTCAATAATATTCCATTGTATGTTGTATTAGACTGTTCTCACGCTGCTAATAAAGACAGGGTAGTTTATAAAAAGAGGTTTAATTGACTCACAGTTGCACATGGTGGAAGGCAAGGAGGAGCAAGGCAGCAGGCAAGAGAGCTTATGCAGGAGAACTCTCCTTTATAAAACCAACAAATCTCGTGAAACTTATTCACTATCACGAGAACAGCGCGAGAAAGACCTGCCCCTCATGATTCAATTACCTTCCACCGGATCCCTCCCATGACAGGTGGGAATTATGGAGTACAATTCAAGATGAAATTTGGGTGAGGACACAGCCAAACCATATCATATGTATATACCATATTTTGTTTATCTGTAACAACCCATATAGACATATGGGTTGTTTCCACCTTTTGGCATTGTAAATAGTGCTGCTGCAAACATGCATGTACATGTATTTGAGTACCTGTTTTCAATTTTAGGGGATATATTCTTGGGATTGGAATTACTGGATTAAGTAGCAATTCTGTTACTACTGTTTCCCACAGTGGCTGCATCATTTTACATTTTCACCAGCAATGTACTAGGGTTCTAATTTCTCTGCATCTTTGTCAACTCTTGTTTTCCTGTTGTTTATGTTTTGTTATAGCTATCTTAGTGTGAAGTGATATCTCATTGTGGTCCTGTTTTGCCTTTCCCTAAAGACTAATGATGTTGAGGATCTTTTCATGTGTTTATTGGCCATTGCTAAATCTTCTTTGGAGAAATGTCTATTCAAGTCCTTTGCCCATTTTAAAATTGATTCTTTGTCTTTTTGAGATTGAGTTGTAAGAATTCTTTATATATTCTGGATACTAGTCCTTGTCAGATATATGAGTTGCAGATATTTTCCCATTGTGTACGTTGTGTTTTAATTTTCTTTTTAAAATTTTTATGCCCTATTCCCCCCCAGATATTTCCTATTTTATTTTATTTTTCATTTTATTTTTATGTAGAGATGATGTATCATGATGTTGCCCAGGCTGGTCTTAAACTCCTGTCCTCAGGCAATCCTCCCATCTAGCCCTCCCAAGGTACTAGGTAGGATTAGAGGCATGAGCTTCCACACCCAGACTTCATTTTCTTGATAATGTCCTTTGGCGCAAAACAGTTTTTAATTTTGATGAAGTCAAATTTTTTAGTTTGTTTCTATGCTTTTAGTGTTATATCTAAAAATGTATTGCCATATTAAAGGTGAGATGAAGATTTACTCTTGTTTCCTTCATAGTTTTAGTTCTTCTATTTAGTACTTTGACCCATTTTGAGTTAATTTTGTAGTGGTAAGGGGTCTTATTTTACCTTTTAAATGTCTTGGCTTTTATTTCATTTGCAAGTACTCATTTAAATTATTTTAATTTTTTAAAATTAAAGTTTAGTTATTTTTAAGCCTAGAATCAAATGCTATCTGCTTTTAGGCATATTTCATCTGTTACTGTCATAAATAGACTTCCAGTCCATTTGTAAATGCCCATTTTGTCACATAGAGATTTTAACATATCCTAGGTATACGTAGAAAGGCACTGTATGTTTGTATATACATGTGAACATATTTTGTATACACTAAAGCTATGCTTTGCTTCTCAGCCAACAGCTGCCAGGCTGCTGAAACTGATAAGCCCTGACAAGGCAGCCTGATTACTGAGGTTGGCGGAAAGCCAGACCATCCCCTACGATAACCACCATCACCTTTCACCAAAGAGAGAGAGAGAGTAAAGCAAGCCCAGATTTGTTTTCCTGAAGGCTGGTGGGAGCAGGAAGGGAGGAAGGATATGTAACACTCTCATGATGTGTACCTGGCAGATGCCTTTCTTTTTTGCTTTAGAAGACGAAATAGGCGGAGCGTGGCGGCTCACGCCTGTAATCCCAGCAGTTTAGGAGGCCGAGGCAGGTGGATCACCTAAGGTCAGCAGTTCGAGACCAGCCTGCCCAACATGGTGAAACCATGACTCTACTAAAAACACAAAACTTAGCTGGGCATGGTGGCAGGTGCCTGTAATCCCAGCTACTCAGGAGGCTGAGGCAAGAGAATTGCTTGAACACGGGAGGCGGAGGTTGCAGTGAGCAGAGATTGCGCCATTGCACTCCAGCCTGGGCCACAAGAGTAAAACTCCAGCTCAAAAAAACTACAAAACAAAACAAAAAGACAAAATAGAGCTGATTATCAGTGAGCGAGGCGTATCAGCCCATTGCTCCTAGTGGGCTATTGCGGAGTAAGTGGTTTGATCTGTACAGTCATTTCAAGTGCTTGCTGTGGTTAGCCACAGTAGTTCAAGGAGGCAGTATGAGAGTTAGACTTGAGCAAATGTCAGCAAGCAGGGCTGGGGCCTCTTCAGAGCATCTCTACCAAAGCATAACAAAGGAGACTATGCAGCTGTGTTGGAAAATTCCCTGATCCATTGCTATATTTTCAACCATTTAGTTCCTAAGCAAGAAATTTAATGAATATTACCTTTGACAGCTGTCTCTCAGCCCCACATTTATCACTCAGTCCTATTGTTCCTACTTCCCAAATATGTCCACTTCTCTCCACTCTCACTGCCACCCCACTAGTCTGAGCCATTATCACCTTCTACCTTCATTATTGCAATAGGTTCTTAACTATTTTCCTAGCTTCACTGCTGGTTCCAAACTTTCTATATAGGTAAAAGTTAAGGACAGTAAGCAAGTTATTGAACCTGTCTCAAAATTAAATTTGTATAGCAAACACACCATTTCTACCTTGAGTGTGTTTGGGGTACAAAGAAGAAGCTTCATAGATGACACAGAAAGTGTCCTGGCCGGACACGGTGGCTCATGCCTGTAATCCCAGCACTTTGGGAGGCCAAGTCGGGCGGATCATGAGGTCAGCAGATGGAGACCATCCTGGCTAACACGGTGAAACCCCGTCTCTACTAAAAATACAAAAAATTAGCCG